GAGGATGGGGGAGCTGGCGGCGAGGAGAAGGGGAAGCGCAAGGTGGATGACGGGCCTTCTCCCTCGGTCGGTTCTTCGGGGAAGAAGGCACGTAAACCTGCAGAGGGGGATGGGGGGTTGGGGGGGGCGCCCAGGGGCCGTCCCCGGGGCCGGCCTAGGGGGCGGAAGGGACTGCTGCGCGAGGATGTCGGCAGGCCTGGCATGTCACCCAGATACCTCCACGAGGCGCGGGGGAGCGGAGGGGGAGGAGGGAGGGTCCGGGGTGCGGCCCAGGCTCCCATGGATGCCGGGAAGGGGGGGGGGCGGGCGGGAGGTGGCCGGGGTGCGGCCCAGGCTCCCATGGATGCCGGGAGGGGGGGGGGGGGCGGGGGGGAGGTGGCCGGGGTGAGGGTCATGGGGCGACTGAGCAGGGTCATGTGGGCTCCTCCACGGAGGTGGAGAAGGAACCCCGACTGTGCGTGGCGGCTTGTTTTGACATGGAGGAGGCGGCACCGGGTTGGAGGAGGTGTAGGATGTGCAACTTCCTAGTGAGCTTCGCGAGCCGCACCACGTCAAATGGGCGGTCCCACATGGTTGGTCACCACAGGGCTCACTGGGACATTTTGAGGCGGCTAAGGCGGGAGGGGGAAATGAAGGTCGGGGACCAACTACCAAAGGGGGGGTTTGGGGACGGTGAGGTCCCCGACGGGGGCAGTACCTGGTGGGGGTCGGCATACTGGCCCAAGTTGGAGGACGCGGAGGAAGACGGGCCTTTGGTCGGCCGCGAGGGGGGGCGCGGGATAATGCGCTACATGCAGAAACCACTTGATCTGCCGCGCTGGGAGAAAATGCTCGTCGAGTACATTGTCGATACCGACTCTGCGTTTTGCACAGTCGAGCGAGACAGTGTGAGTCCCAGCCACCCTCCCCATGGCGTGTTCTTGTTTCATGTTGTGCTTGTTTAGTACATCCCTACCTCGCCCTCCACTCGTCATGGCCTCACCTCTTTGTTCCACCCTATCTCGCCCTCCATCATTTTTGCCCTGTCAATAACCTCGCAGTGCAGGAGGCTATGGGTGGGGTGCCGGAGGTGGAAGCGCCGCTGAAGAAGCTGCGCAACCTCGCGTCACGCATTGGCTTCTCAGTGATCAAGACAGCGGCCTTCGAGAACGAGCAGCGTCACCAGTTCCCTGGAAAGCAACCCTTGAAGTTGAAGCAGGACAATCCGGTGCACTGGGGCTCCACCCACACCATGCTGCGGCGGGCGATCGAGCTCAAAGGCCCAATCAGGGCCTTTGTGGCTAGTGAGGTATGTCATGTAACTTGGTTACCACCAACCCTCTGCCGCCCACTTACCTCCATCGCCCGGCCGTGTCCCCCCCGCCACACTCCAAGCCCCTTTCAGAAAGATTGCCCCCCCGTCCCCCCTCCGTTCCCCCCTCCCCTCTCCTCTCCCTCCCCCACACCCTTGTTTGCTCAAATCTAGAGGTGTAACAAGAAGGAGTAGGCCGACCTGGACAAGAAGGCCGTTACAGAAGATGAGTGGGCGATACTACAGGAGTTGATGGCATTCCTGGCGCCATTCAACAACGTTACTCTAGCAGCGGAGGGGTCGGTGTACCCAACTGTGGCGCGTGTGGTGCCACAATACAATGGGGTACTGGACTGGCTGGAGCGCAAGCTGGCAGCGGCGAAGCCGAGGTCGGTGATGGCGCGGTGCGTGTCCCAGGCATTGGAGAAAATGCTCAATTATTTCTACTCCAATACCGATGACCTGAACGTGGCCACATTCTTGGACCCGGCACTGAAGCGAGTGTGGTTTGAGCGGCCTATGGTGGAAGGCAGCACCAGGGTGGTGGAGGAGTTGGATGCCGGCGAGGTGGAGCAGTTGGTGCGCGATAGGTGGGAGACGTACAAAAGAAAGGTGGATGAGGAGGTGGCTGAGAAGAGGGGGGCAGCAGCAGCGGTAGAGGGGGGCAGCAGGGGGATGGGAGTGGATGTGAGGGAGTCCGAGGATGAGGAGGATGAGGACTTGGGTGTGTTTACTCACCTCGCAACAATGCGGGCCGCACGGATCTCATCGGTGCAGGATGAGATCCAACAGTACTTGTCACTCCCCTTGGCGGAACTGCACGACTGCCCCTTGCAGTTCTGGAAGGTCCACCCGGAGCTTCCAGCGCTGCAGCACATGGCTCGGGATTACCTTGCCATCCCGGCCACCTCTGCCCCCTGCGAGCACCTGTTCTCACAGGGCCGCAACCTCATCCATTGGCAGCGCTACCGCTTGGGTGCGGAGTGAATCCGTGCTTGCATGATGCTGAAGTCATGGATTGCCTCTCACCCTGGACAGCGGCTTGATGGCGCGGTAGCAGCAGAAGATATCGAGACGGCCGACGAGGCTTGGGAGCTGGGCCTTGAGATAGGTCCAGGGCTGTGAGGGCTAGCGTGCTGCTGGGGGGTTCGGGAACTGATAGGACATTTCCTTATATTGACAACGTGCTACACCGATGACTATGCTTGATGCTTGCTTCTTCCCCTCCCCTTCCCCCCCCTTTAAACCCCCCTCCCTCCCCGCACCCTCACTCGCCACACCCTCCAGCTGGCAGCTGCCCCCCCCCCTTCCCCCCCCTCCCCCCTCTTTCAAACCCAAAACACTTACTTTATCGAAGCTACGAAAGTCGGGCCCTTACCACGGGGCTCGCATTTGTGTGAAACCCACTCTGAACCGTGATTTCTATCGTTCAACGGCCGCACGCCATCTCGTGTTCCAATTTTCAGAAGTCGCCGTTTTTTTCTATGTTTGTAGACTTGTTTTAAAAACCTCCAAAAATGCGATGCGATTTAATATCGCATCGCGCGATTTATTAAAACATCACATGCGATTTTTAATAACATTGCGGGCAAAACGCGATGTGCGATGTTTTTTTTATAATTATTATTAAATCGCGCGATGCGATTTAAAATCGCATCGCCTTTTAAAACATCGCACCTGCATGCGATGCGATTTAAATCACAATCGCATTTTGCCCATGTCTAACTGTACTACCGTAATGTCAACAAACATAGTTCTCTGGGCCCCTAGATATCATCCTTTTTACGCTGATTCAGCCTTCTTCAGGCTTTTTTTTTTTTGCACAATGTCACACGTTCATTGCAGTGACCTCTGTGTGAATCAGTTCTCTGAGTTTCTACCTACTTCTATGGGTAGTTTCTTCTCTATCCAGGCCATTTGAGTGATGTGGCTTTGGTGCCTTCCCTATTCTGTCCTCTATTTGCAACACCCCCTCTTGTGACATATTCCGCAGTTCTACGTTTCCTTTTATTCCCTTGTTCTCCACTTGCCCTGTGTTGTTTATTTGTATCGCTCTGAGTACTTAAAACATTCCTCTCTCTTTGTCTACTTGCCCTCCGCACCCCTTTTTTTGCACGCTGCCGTCGTCTCTGTCTTCATGTTCCTTTTCGAGCTGTTCTCTCACCGTCTCTTTACGTTCTGCTAAATCCCTTATTCTTCTCTCTCCACCCACACCCACACATGGCCCAACAAGCAGCAACATTACAGCGTTGGGACTCACATGTCCTCCCGATGCTACCAGTTGTGTGGTTTCCCAGTTCATGTACACCACCTTCTGCCGTGAATGTGCGAGCTTTTGTCAAACATGTACACTCGCCAAAGGTGAGACGTTTTGGTCATTGAAAGTCAAGGCTAGTGTGTGCTAGTTGGCAATTTGTGTCATTCATGCCGTATGCATGGACATAGGAGCTTCGATCTTGCATGCTATTTTGCATAAAGCATAGTTTCTCTGTGCATCTTCATGTGTGCCCACCATGTCAGCTCCATTCCCACCAAGAGTCGTGCCCTCCCCTCCTCCATCACCGCCATCCCCATCCCTACCACCCCCATCACCCGTTGCACCTAGAAGCCCTCTCACCACGTCCTACACCTCCTCCTCCTCCTCGCCTCCTTCCTCTAACACCCCTTCCTTCTTCTCCGCCATGTCCGTGGGGGCCGTCATCGGCATTGTAGCAGCAGCCACCCTTCTGCTCCTTCTCTTGCTTGGCTCGGCTTGGTGGATGGTCGCACGCATCACAACCTCGAATGGAGGTTATGCTCTTCTATTCTTGACTTAAATATTGCACAAATTAATCATCGTCACCTTTTTTGTCCTGTCACTTAGAAATAGCCTTCTGGGGTTCATTTTCTACCTTTCATTCTCTTAGCCTGAAGTAGCACATCTGCCTCTTCACACATTATTACTAATCTCCCTGCTTCTCTTCCTATGCAAACACACAATTCTCCATGCAGCCCCATCCGTCCCGGGCTTAGAGATCGCGGCTATGCCATGCCAGCAATACTCTCTGGCCCTTGTGGAGCGCGCCACTGACAGCTGGTCCAAGGACAGCCTGCTTGGGTCGGGCACCTATGGAGACGTGTACCGCGGGGTGTCCCCTGATGATGGCACCACGCTGTGGGCCATGAAGCAGGCCAAAGTCATCACAACCGACTTCCATAGAGAGGTGGGCGAGGATGGGGAGGGATGGGTCGAACAACAGGAGGGTGGGTGTTTGGCAGCTGCGGCCAAGGTGTGGCTAGATATTGGAGGACTCAAGGTCCACAAAGAGAGAGAAAAAAAAAATGTAAAACCAGAAGCAAGGAAATCATCTGTTGGCACTAAGAAACGATTTGGTGGGTTCCCATTTCATCAAGCCTTCTCTCTTTACCCCGCAGGTGGCTCAGATGGTTATGAAGCACCATCCCAACTTGGTGCCGCTGCTGGGGTTCGCAATGGGCGGTGACGTGAACACGCGGGTGGAGAACTTCTCATCTACGAGTTCATTGACAATGGCAACCTGCGGAGATGGATCATTCAAGGTATTGCTATGACAACTGTGTCAACCCCATTCGAGATGTCGTCAAACATAGTTTCAAGCACAGAATTATCATCGTTCCTGCTTTTTGTTTGCTTCAATTTGTCTGCTTCTCCGACGACATCCAGCCCCCGGTATTTTTCCATTTTCCAGATGCCCCCACTAGCTTGACTCTACAGCAGCAGGTGGACATTCTCATTGGGGTTGCATGTGGCTTGGAGTACCTCCATGGCTTTGGCATTGTGCACCATGACATCAAGCCAGCCAACATCCTCATTGATGCGCACACGCAGGTGGGGTGTTGAGGCTACCCATCAACTTTAAGCTGAACCCAATAGGGTCATTTTATGTATCGTGTCATCGACCAATGATGAGCCGGATGGAGGATCCATGCTAACCCTTCTCCTGCATCGAGCCTTCTGTCCTCTCCTTTCCTCCCCAGACTAAGGTGGCAGACTTTGGGCTGCTACGTGTGGGGGTGGGCACTGCAATGGGCTCCATGCGAGTACTTGGAACGGTGGGCTATGTGGACCTCAGGTGCTATGTGTACCTCATAACACATAATGCCACAACTGCTGCTGATGTTTACAGGGCTATGCTATCGTATAGAGGTGGTGTGTTGAGTCGTACAAGTGTGAAGCCGAGTTTTCTTAATAGACTTCAAGGTCCGCTCCGTAACAAAGTGTATGCATGCACAATAGATTCGCATAAGGGTTGAGAAAGAGCCTGAGCCCGAGACCGAGGCGGCCGGGGTTCATTGAAACATGGGCCCTTGCCCGCCGTTTCCAAAATCTGGCCCAAAGATACAGTTGAACTTCAGTTAAAAAGAACGATCTACATGAATTAAGCATTTATGACACCTTTACATCAACCACGTCTCTGATTTCTCTTCTACAAGCTGTCGGCTTCCCGACTTTGCATTTTCCATCGTATGGCAAGGTCACATTCTATATTTGCTTCTTTCTCTTGTCTTGTCAAAACTTGCAAGATGCAAATTTCTTCATATGTCCTGTCCACCAATGTTTCCCTCCTCCAGCTTTGGCATTCTCATGCTCGTGATGGTGTCTGGGAAAGGTGCTACGGGCAATGAGGCGAACCTGGGCAGCGAGGAAATATTTGGGGACCAAGAACTAGTATCCATCTCCAAATGGGTGTGTAGCATATAACTACTTCCGCCCATTAGTCTCGATAGCTGCCTTTCCTCGAGGCTCTACTTGCAGTTGTTTGTGTCTGCACTTGCTATTGTTGTGAAATCGATTTTATTCTTGTTTCCTTCACTTGTTGTGCCCACCACATGCGATCCCCCCCCCAACTAACAGGCAACTGACCTGATACTGGTGGGTTGACATCACTCCTTCGGGACCCCCGCATGGCAGCACCTCATGACATCATCAAGCGCATGGCCCAGCTTGCCACGACCTGCACTGCCATGCCCACTACCTCTCGCCCCTCCATGTCTCGAGTGGCCCAGGACTTTAAGGCCCTCAGGGAGGATGTGGGAGGGGGGGATGCAAGGGCAAGTGCTGCTGCAAGGGTTGATGAGATGATGGTGAACCAGCATCCTATGAGGACCATGGACGAGGAACTTGCACTAGTGAATAACCGATTTCTTCGCACGGATGAAACTAATGCTGATGTGTCAAGGAGGGAGGAGAGAGCTAGTTCTAGTGGGAAAGGGGATGAAGACCCATCGACCCATCCTAGCAAGTGCCTATGATCTCATTGGCCATATTTTTAGACTTAAATGCTTCTTGAAGGCCGTCATCAGGCCAGGGCTCTAGCTAAGGCCTTGCCTCCACTTTCAAATCAGGGTGAACAAAGCACTGTTACATTGATTTTGCAGCTTGAACATGTCTTGTGCAAGTGCTGTTGATGGACCAGTTTTCCCTCGCCCTTGCTGATTCTGGTTTGGCCAGGAGAGCCATCTCTAGTGTGCAGTACGGAGCTGCAACGAGTGCATCTTCGGTTAAAGCTCAGTCACTAACCACTGAGTTAAAAGGCTTGTTAAGTAGCCCGTTAGATTTTTTTTCCACCGTTTCTCACGCTTCCGCCGTTACTCACGCTACCGCCGTTACTGTAGCTTCTTATTTTTTGCGTGTGTGCACCTCTCTCAATTTCGCGCACTGTAGCCTTCCAATTTCGCGCACTGTAGCCTTCCAATTTCGCGCACTGTAGCCTTCCAATTTTGCGCACTGTAGCCTTCCAATTTTGCGCACTGTAGCCTAGATGCACTCCCCCCTAGCATTCGTGCTGTTTCGTACGGCAGCCAGCAGGCTGGCAAGCCAGCCAGCCCGCTAGCCAGCAAGCTCACTAGCTCGCTCGCCAGCAGCACGCTAGCTGACGTGCCAGCCAACGCACCGGCCGGCATGCTAGCCAGCACGCCCGCCAACGCGCTAGCCAGCACGCCAGTCAATGGACCAGCCAACACGCCAGCCAGCTAGCCAGCACGTTAGCCAGCTAGCTAGCCAGCGCATTAGCGCGCTGCCAGCAGTGCTAGCCAGCTCGCCGTCAGCACCTGCTGCCAGCTACTAGCCTGCAGCACCTGCCAGCTCGTCACTGGCCAGCTCACTGCCGCACCAGCCATTGCCACTGCAGCAACTGCCTCTGCCACTGCAGCCACTGCATCTGCCGCCACTGCCGCTGCCGCAGCCGCCTCGGCCACTGCAGCCTGCCTCTGCCGCCACTGCCACTGCAGCAACCAGCGCTCCCGCTGCCGCTGCCGCTGCTGCCACTGCCGTTGCAGCTGCTTCCCTTGCAGCTGCCACTGCCGCCGCTGCACTTGCAGCCGCTGCTGCCGCGGCTGCCCTTGCAGCCACCGCTCCGCCGCTGCCCTTGCAGCTGCCACTGCCGTTTCTGCTACTGCCGCTGCCAGCTAGTTGCCGGACAGCCGCCGCCACTGCAGCCGCCACTGCTGCTGCCTGTGCCACTGCCACTGCCACCACTACTGCTGCAACTCCAACTGCCGCCGTTACTGCTGCCCCTGCCGCTGCAACCCCTGCCACTGCCGCAACCGCTGCAGCCACTGCAGCAACCACTGCAGTCACTGCCGCAACTTCTGCAGCCACTGCCCCTGCCGCAGCCGCCGCTGCCACTGCAGCCACTGCTGCCACTGCCGCTGCAGCAGCCCACACTGCCGCCACTGCCACTGCTGCAGCTGCTGCTGCCACTGCCGCTGCCGCCTCTGCCGCTGCAGCTGCACTGCCGCCTCTGCCACTGCTGTAGCCGCTACCGCCTCTGCCGCTGCAGATGCCCTGCCGCCGCTGCCACTCCTGCAGCTGCTATCGCCACTGTCGCTGCTGCCACTGCAGCTACCACCACTGCCGCCACTGCCCTTACAACCGCCACTGCCGCCGCTGCCCTTGCAGCCATCACTGCCGCCGCTGCCCTTGCAGCTGCTGCTGCTGCCGCTGCCCTTGCAGCCGCCACTGCTGCCACTGCCACTGCTGCAGCTGCTGCCGCCACTGCCGCTGCCGCCGCTTGTGCTGCCGCAGCTTGTACTGCCGCCACTGCCACTGCCGCAGCTGCTGCAACCCCCTGCCGCTGCCGCCACTTCCGCTGCCGCTGCAACCGCCAGCAGCAGCCGCCACTGCCAACGCTGCCTGTGCAGCTGCCACTGCCGCTGCCACCCTTACAGCTGCTGCTGCCGCCGCTGCACTTGCAGCCGCCAATGGCACCATTGCCGCCACTGTCCTTGCAGATGCTGCTCCCACTGCTGCCACCACTGCCACTGCAGCCGCCGCTGCCCCTCCTGTCGCCACTGCAGTCGCCAGCCGCCAGCATCCAACCGCCGGCAACCAGCCGCCGACCCCCAGCCGTCAGCCGCCAACTGCCACCACTTGCGGCCAGCCGCCAACCACCAGCCGCCAGTCGCCAGTCGGCCGCCACCCTCGTGAGTCCCCTGTGCCGCCAGTCCTAGTGACTTCTAGCTAGCTCCTCAGCGCGCTACTCCTAGTAGCTCCTCTCGCGTGTACTTCCTCCTCGTTTGCTTCCTACTCCTATTTGCAGCTTCTTGCCTCCTGCTCGCTGCCACTGCTCCGGCCAGATCCGCCACTGCTACTACCTCCGCTAGCACTCCTATACCACCTAGTGCCTCCCACTAGTCTCCTCCTCATTTCTAGAGTTCTTTGACGCCTCTCCTCTCGGCATCATGGCCTCGTTCGGGTCCGTCCCTCGGCCAAATCGCCGAGCGCTTCCCTCCGCTCTTCGATTTATCGCTCACCGTCTACAGCTGGTGAGCCCGCACCTAGACTGCACGCTCTTAGAGGATCACATTAGTTACCTCCTCGGCTTCTACATCCACGACCTCGACATCTGCTTCCGGGCTCTCTGGCCAGTGCCGCTGCCGCTGCCACAACAGCAGCAGCAGCCGCAGCGGCAGCGGCAGCAGCCACAGTGGGGTCTTGGGGGTGCTGGGCGAGGTGGAGGCTTTGGAGGTGCAGCCTTAGGGCGGTCACTGTCCTGGGGCCAGTGTGGTTTCTCTGGAGGACCGGGGGGCCTTGGGGCCTAGGGGTCTAGGTTCCACCACTGTGTCTAGCCTAGGAGCCTCTACTCCGTGTCTCCTAGGCTCCTCCCCTGCACCTCCTGAGGTGGCCATCTCCTTTATCCTTGACTCGGGCGCATCTCGTTGCTTCTTTAGAGATAGTACTGCTCTCACCCCACTTCCTTCGCCTATCCGCATCGCACTAGCAGATTCCTTTGCCACAACTAACGCACATAGCATCACCACTTTCACTTGTCCAGCTGTCCCCTCCGGCTCCCTCACTGGTCTGCACATCCCGTCCTTTGCCAGTAACCTAGTGGGTGTCGGTCACCTTCAGGACTGAGGCATCACCACTACGTTCCTTAGCCGCGAGAGACATGCCGCCAGCACAGACACAACCACAGGTCGGCACTTAGCCACGTTTGAGCGTGACCCAGGGTCAGGTCTCTTTATACTGCACACTGAGTCCCCACCGACAGCTGCATCTGTCACGTTTGCTTTTTTCTGCTCTTGTCGCTCCATAGCCCACCCGACCCTTCTGTGGCACCACCGCTTAGGTCACCCTGCACTCTCGCGTCTTAGGCACATGTCCCAGCACGGTCTAGTCACTGGTCTCCCTACGTCATTTCCCGCCCTGCCTATGTCGGTAGCACCACTGTGCACAACCTGCGTCGAGGGCCGGCAGCGCGCCGCCCCTCACTTCTCTTCGTTTCCTCCTAATGCAGCGCCGCTACAGACACTGCACATGGACTTCGGGGTCCCTACCCAAGTCCATGGTCTTAGTCGGGAGGGCTACTTTCTAGTCATCATTGACGACTTCTCGCGCTTCACCACAGTGTTCCCATTGGAGCGAAAGGCCGACGTGCCTGCCATTCTCCTTCTGTGGCTTCTCACTTTTTGCACCCACCACCGTCTGCCTGTAGGTCGCTCACACTATGACCGAGGTGGTGAGTTCGCCTCTGGCACTCTAAGACGATTCTGTCGTGCGGAGGGCATCCGCCAAATGTACACACTGCCGGACTCCCCATAGCAATATGGGATCACTGAGTGACGCATCAGCCTGATCATGGAGGTGGCTCGCACCTCCATGGTCCATGCCGGTGCACCCCATTTTCTGTGGCCGTTTGCAGTGCGCAACACTGCTCACCAGCTTAACCTGTGGCTGCTCTCCCAACGGCCACTGGTTTCGCCGACCCTCCTCTGGACCCGGTCTCCTGGTGACGCGGCTGTGTTCCACTTCTGGGGCAGCCTTGCTCACGTCCGCGAAACTGGCACGGACAAGCTCTCAGCCCGCAAACTTCCTTGGTTTTCGTGGGGTTTCCACTTGATGCCAC